CTGTACATCTGGCTCCAGGATGGGTCAGGGCAACCTGCAGGAATTGCGTTACTGGCTGCACTTGTCTGATCCTTATCAGAGCAGTCCGCATATGTTTTGGCCTCACCACTGAGCAGCAGGCCACACTTCCTGAGGCCATGATGCACTGGCAGGGTAAATAGACCCCTTCCCTGCTGCTTTTGAACACCGGGTGGGAATCCAACCCTTCGCTGCGCAAAGAGGAAGTGGAGCCGTTTCCATTCATCAGCTTAGCACAGGTCAAGCTCTGCCTCTAAGATTGCTGGGGCAAGGTCAACAATAGTCAGTACCCTGTGTTATGCAAACGGAGCCGGCCTTCCGACTAACTAGTCCTTCTCTAGCCCAGCAGTTCTCAACCAGGGTTCTGGGGCCCCTGGGGGAGAGGGGGGAGGGCTGCCGAAATCAACCAGAGGGCAGGGCCAGCGTTAGACTCCCTGGGACTCAGGGTAGAAAGCTGTGGTGTGGGGCTACGGACAGGTGCCCGGCTTGCTACCCCTTAACGCCAGCCCCGGCTTTGAATCTCCTGGGTAGGCAGAAACCCAGGTGCTGTGGCACAGGTGGGCCATGGAGGTTTTTGTAGCATGTTGGGCGGGGGCTCAGAAAGAAAAAGAACCCTGGGCTAGGCTGGCTCATCTTCAAGTCTCGACCACATCTCACTCATGACAGGAAACTGTAAGTCTACATTTCCTGCCAAATCAGCAGGCTCTAAAATATGCTCCCCTTTCAGCTATTCTCCGAGCGCCTGCATATGATGCTTTGTTTGAACTCAGAGCTGGGCTACTCAACCAGTCCATTTCCCAACCTAGCAAGGAGACACTTATTTAAAAGATTGACTGACCTGGAAAGTCTCATAGGAGGCAGCCTCCTATCTCCATTGCCGGGCGGGGGGGGGGGGAGGAGGAGGAGGGAGGGTATTAGGTTTCACAAGAGGTTCCTCATGTCTGAGTCACCAAACAGCTTGAACTTCCTCCCCTGTCACATTGCCTCCCTTCTCCTTCGCTTCCCTGGCCCTTCCTGTTCCATGACATTCAGCCAGAGCACCTTGTTCTCACCTTCAAGGCTCTGTGTAACTCCTCCCCTGCTTTCATCTTGGCTCTCAGTTCCTCTTATACCCTCTCTGGCTTCCTCTTACCTGTTCTGTGTCCCCCTCTACGCTTAGCTTCATTCCTTTCATGGATAGTCTCCGAAACTCATGAAGGAAATGCCCTCTCTCTCCTCCACACCCACTTTTCACCATGCCTCCTTGATGGGTCTCCTCACTGATGCTCACACCTGCACAGTACCCTCATGCATCATCTTTGCCAGAGCTAGACTGGAAGCACTTGGGGCTAAAGACCCTGACTTAAGAGGTGTAGCACATCGTATACATTTGTGTCACTATAGCGCCATGATACATAAATAATAACCAACTGATGCTAAGAATATGTTTCACACTCCAACTTAGACCAGGCCTTAGCTTACCGGAAATCCCCTCACACCCTTCTCTTAGGTCCTGTCTTCATTAAAGGAAGAGACCCACTTACCCTACAGTTATCCCCCATCATGGTTATAATACCATTCTATTTTACAGTGTATGCCAGAGTGCTGGAGCTCTGCTCCGTCTTAGATTTTAGCACGGTTTAGGAAGACGGTTAGGCTCTGCCTGCAGTGCAAGATGTAGCTGTGTTTTAAATATGTCAGGACATAACTACGTTGTAACTGGACTCTTCGAGCCGTGCTTTTTTGCAACACAGGTCCAAAATCTACACTCACTAGAGCCTGGCTTTGTAACAACATTCCTCCAGGTCTACAGTGGCCAATGAAACCGCAGTTGTTACCCTGCCTTCAAGAACCACACTCAAACATGGCTCAAGCTAACATAATTCCTGCCTAGGGGCTCACCATACACGTCTGACTCTACAGTGACCCTTCCGACAAGAGTCACCGTGCAGCTATCTCCCTCACCAAGCTGCTTTTAATACTCTATTTGCCTTACTCAGTTCACCAAACGCTAACAGCTTTGCCAGATCCACCTCTCTGCTGCTAATCCATACTAAGGGGTCTTGCCTATTAAAACCCTAATTTATTCTTCCCATCCCCTGCAGAGGCTCATCCCTCACTCAGACCATTCCTAGCAATACTGCTTGCTTGTAGCCTCCTACAAGCCCCTTGAGCGATTTTACACAGAGATTTAACCCTCCACTTTGATCAAATGAGCTGTGCTTTCATAGGCCACCCAGGGAGCTGCCTCGTCACAGGAACCAATCAGATTTTCATATCGGTGGGGAGAGCAGATTTAACACATTTTTCAGCTACTGCAAACAGTCAGGAGGAGCTCTCAGCCCTTTCTGAGAACACCTCCTTCTTCCCCTCCCCCCACCTGATTAAATTTAAAATCACCTTGAAAGTACAAGTGTATCAGTGGGAAGAAGAGGGGGGTCTATTGCCTGGACTCACTGGTCAGCTTTGAAGGAGTTTTATGGTTTTGGGGACTATTTTATGCTTTTTTCATAATTAACCTTTTCCAATAAGAGAGTGACAACTAAAGTGGACATGGAAGAAAATCAGTGGTCTTCCTTTGGTTTCAAATGAGAGACCCTGTGATAGTGAGAGGGTCTGACATGGGAGGACTCCGCACAAGGGAAGATTTATGTTGGGACTGATCCTGTCTCCAGCTTCAGCTGCATTGATGTTACTGGGGTGTTCGGTTGCGTAAGGCCTATGGGATCAGACTATGACAGCACCTGTTCTGTCTCCAGAGTGTTCATTAACAGAGCCATGACGGTGAGCAGTTAATTACTTTTGTTAAAAAAAATCGTTAGTGCCCTTCCTGTGTGTGGGACACTGGCCTCAGGAGAGGGCAGTATATAATGGACAAGGGAGGGGACATGAGGGTGCTCAGCACCTATGAACAATCCTGGCACGTGGATATTATCACTGGTACGCTGTGCAGAACACGTGGTTTTTTGGAAGTTATTTAAAGATGGGGCACCTGGCAGGCATTATGGGGAAGCTTTCTGGGGCATACAGGGAGGCCTGAAAGAAGGCACCAAGTTCAGGGTGGGATGAATTGACAAAGAGGTCTGTAAGGAGGCATGTTTAGGCAGAGGACAGAGTGAGTGGGGGTTAATGAGGGCAAGAAAGGAGGTGGGTCAAGTGGGGACATAGAACTGGTAGGTAGAATTCCAGGATTCTATTCCTGACTCTGTGTGACCTTGGAGCATTAAAAACCTTTCTGTGCCTCAGTTTACCCTTAAGATTTTAGTCTGCCATAGGATTTTCTATAATGCCTAACATTAACATCTAAGTTCCCGGGGGTAATAATACCTACCACACAGGGGTATTGTAGGGCTTGATTTACTAACATTTGCACGCTGTTTAGAGACACACTGTATTTTCTTTCTTTCTGGGCACTATTGCATTACAAATAATAACTAAGCCTCATGACACCCCTGAGATGTGCTGCAGGGTACGTATTATCCCCATTTTACAGGTATGGAAACCGAGGCACAGAGCTGTTGAGTCCTACATTTTCATATTTGGGCAACAAAATTAGGCACCTGAATAAGTAGCCTGAATTTCAAAGGCACTGGGCACCTGCTGCTCCCACTGAAATTAATACAAATCTAGGCAATTAATTTTAGGTACCCACGGCTGCACAGTTTGACTGAAGCCATTTTCTCTCTGTCAGCCAGAGTCTGTGGTTCATAAAGGCTGCTTTCTGGTTGTGCCACTCCGTGGGACAAAGGGCTGTTGTGGGGGGCACCCAGAACCCTGCTGCCTAAATGCCCTCTGAAGTCTGCTCCCTTTTATGATGGGGACTCGGTCAGTGCCCAGAGGCCTTGGGATTGGGGCCTCCTCCTCTGGATTTCTGCCAAACGTAGTTTAGCTGGTCCAGAGAATCATCAGAAGTGCCAAGGTCTGTGCTGTGAGAGCCACTCCTCTATAGGAATTACATGGACTTTGCAAACATAAGTAAAAAGCAGAGAGGTCAAAGGCTGGTCTGAACAACCTTGATACTGCAGTTCACCTCTGGGAATAAGTAAATACCCCCTCAGCTGCATGCTGCCGAACAAACAGTGCCCTAGTTGGGTGCAGTTTGATCTGGAGAACAGACAGCAATTTCTGGCAAAGGTCAACTCTCTCTGGTAAGCCCTGCAAGCGCTTACCGGAGTGCTTGACTTTGTGAACAGTCCCACTGAGTTCAGTGTGGTAGCTGTGTTCGTCTGTGTCAGCAAAAACAACGAGGAGTCCTTGTGGCCAAACAATTGTGTTAGTCTCTAAGGTGCCCCAAGGACTCCTCGTTGTTTTTACTGAGTTCAATGGAATTACTCACATGCCTAAAGTTAAGCACCTATGTGGCACTGGAATGATCAATGTCTACATTAATTCTGTTAAATACTGCATGGGCCAATGGACCCCTACTGGCTCCCTACATGTATGTGAATTGGGTGACCAGATGTCCCAGTTTTATAGGGACAGTACCGTTTTTGGGGACTTTTTCTTATACAGGTGCCTATTACCCCTCACCCCTGTCCCGTTTTTTCACAGTTGCTGTCTGGTCACCCTATATGTGAGTGACAGTTCTCATTCCATACAGCCACACAATGTGTTCATATGTATGCGAACCGTACTGACAAGCAGGGGGAGCAGAGCAGATATAATTTATGCTCTTAGCTGGGCTTTTTTTTCTCACTTGGATTAACAGACTGGTATTGAACACTGGGTTTTCCAAACCTGCTAGGTGAAGGGCAAGGCAGCAGAGGACAAGTTACACAAGGACAGAAAGAAGAGAATGACAGTCTCCTATAACAGGTTTCAGAGTAACAGCCATGTTAGTCTGTGTTCGCAAAAAGAAAAGGAGTACTTGTGGCACCTTAGAGACTAGCCAATTTATTTGAGCATAAGCTTTCGTGAGCTACAGCTCACTTCATCGGACGCATACTGCGGGAAGTACAGAAGATCTTTTTATACACACAAACCATGAAAAAATGGGTGTTTACCACTACAAAACATTTTCTCTCCCCCCACCCCACTCTCCTATAACAGCATCTCACTCTACGCTGAAATGCCTTTCCTGATCACACAGGTTTTCTCTTCTAAAAAAATAAACCTGGCCAAAGACTGATTACTCCTGCTGAACAAAACCAAAATCCTCATCCGGAACAGCTTCCAATCTGACGCTCAAGCAGATACAGCCCGGAGGCATACGGGGGGTATTATTTCATCATTCTCAACCAACTGGTTTTCCAATGTATTAAAAGCACTGAGATCGACTCATAAGGTAGGAACCCAGTCTTGCAATTGGATCCACATGCACAGATCCCTGAGCCCAGGCTGGAGCCCCATTTACTTCAGTTTTGGCCCTAACTCCAGTGGTCTCTGAATTCCGGATTGTTTGGCTGTTTTGGTTAGTTGTCCCATTGCCCCAGGGGAACTAGCATGGTCAGTTGTGATCATTGAGTATTTCCGTGTATTTTAGCACACGGTGACACGGCAGTAATTAGATCCACAGGCTGTGTGTTTTGAAATGTTTTTATTGATTTTTAACATTCATTACGTGAAGTACAAACTGTCAGGTCTCAGCTATTTGAGAGACAGTAAAATGTCGAACATTGAGAGCTGCCAGTCAGAAAAATGTGTATTTTATATCAAACTTGAGTAACAGGGCACAGCTATTAGTCCATGTCCCAGTATATCGTGGGAGGAAAATTATATAGTTTTACTACCTAGAGTCCTGATCCTGCAAAAACACATCACCTTACTCACATGAGTTGTCCCATTAACTCAAAAGGGATTACTCCTGGGAGTAAAGTTATGCTGTCATTACACCCACTGAAGGCAAGGGAAGCCTTTCTATCGACTTCAGTACATTTTGGAGCAAGCCCCATACACAATAGCATCAACGAGGATAAGGACACAATGTGAAGAGGATCAATAATCCTTGTGGATCCTACAGTGTCTTCCAGCCACCTTTTTGCTGAGCAGGTTATTTTCTCCTAAGCCTCTCGTTCACTAGGACCAGTGCACCAGACATGAAAAAGGATCTTCACATCTGCTGGTCTAACTTATTTGTAATCAGGATTTATCAGAATAGCTTCCCCCTTTCTCCTCTTGTGTGTGCACATATATATTTATAGGAGCAGCAATGCACCATGTTACCATTTAGTGGTGCTCAAGCATTTTGGAACCTCTGCAAAGAGCAGTTTGCAGCACATATGGCAACTGCTACAGCTATGCTCCTGCCACCTGATGGAAGTCAGGTGAAGTCAATGAGGCTACACAGCTGTAAATATAAGTGGGGTTTGGCCCTGGGTGTGTTGCATCAGAATCCACAAGGTCACCCCTGAGGTTACCCTGAATAGAAGACATTTGTTAAATGAGTCACTGTGGAGAGGATCCTAATATTTCTTTATGGGAAACCCTAGAAAGATAAGGAAGGTGCCGGGAGACCTGTCAGCGGATCAACAAAATAACGTAGTGCACAAGCCATTAGGCCTAAAGGGTTTGCTCTTCAGGTGCTGGATGTTTATACAGAAGGTGAGCAACGCTGAACTGATTACTGGTACGGTTTGACTGCTAGTAAAGGAAACCTGAATGGCATCTTAATCTTTTAAACATGGATATTGTGGAACACATTTTGCTAAGCACATATTAGGTTTTTTCCAAGGGAACGCTGCAGCGGGTATCAGTCAAGGCAGGGCAATAAAACAGACAAGCTACATCTCGAAATAACGGGCCAAGTGCAGACTGGATTTAACCCGGCTGGCATTAAATTCTCTGGGCCACATTCAGTGCTTATGTTTCAAGTTAAAAATGAGCAGAATGGCACAAACAGAGTAATTTGCACTGATCTGGTCCTCCGTGGGTGTGTCAAAATGAGTGCGACTTACACTGAGGGAAATGAAAAAGGTGGAAATAGCAGGAAAAGCAACAAATAGGAGAGTGTAAAGTGTACATGGCAGGGAGTTGTTACTTTATTTAACAACCCTCTGTCAGTTGCTTTTCATTCTACAGCCCCACTCCATCCAGCTGTTTCACCTCCTTGGTGTGTAAGTCACCCTGGGTTTTGCACATCCAAACTGGAGCAAATCACACTTCTTTATCACCCAGAGCCCATTTCTGCCTTCAGTGACACAATACGACTCTGATTGAAATCCACAGGAACTGCACTGGCAGAGGACAGAACTGGGTCTCCTGTAACTTAACACTAAAATTTGGGCCATTAGCTACTGATTAAACCCCTGGAATTTCTGCTTCAGAAGTGGCTCTGGATTTTCTCTTGCTGGCCAGGGTGTTCAGGATGGAGTCCTCACTGAAGGCCCCCTCGAAGGCAGAGAGAATGGACTGTCGGAACTTCTCCTTGAAGTCCTGCCCCACAAAGACATAGAGGATGGGGTTGATACAGCTGTTGAAGAAGGCAAGACTGGAAACCAAGGGGATCCCTATGTAAAGGGCCATTTTCAGCTCCTGATTGGAAGAGTTTTTAGACATTTCAAGCAAGCAGAAGACATGGTACGGAAAATAGCAGAGGAAAAACGACACTGTGACAGCAACAATGATCCTGAAAGGCTTAGTGGATCTGGCTAGATGGCTCCTTTTCATCCTGACAACAATGATGCTGTAGCAGACGAGGATCACGGTGAAGGGGATGAGGAACCCACATAAGAATCTGGTTACGATCATAGCTTTGTGCCTCATTTTCCACAGCCGCCGTGTCTCCTCAGATTTATAGTCATCAGACAGGGCAAAGTTATTGTAACAGCTGGTAACGTTCTTCGAATTAGTAGCAGTGTCTCGAAAAACAAGATACGGAGAGCTGATGATGAAGGCTAGGACCCATGTGACCAGGGCAATGTTGGAAGCCAACTTTGGTGTCCGGTGGTTACGAGACCACACAGGGCAGATCACCGAAATGCATCGGTCTATGCTGATCACCATTAGGAGGAAGACGCTAGCAAACATATTGAGGAAGGCAATGGTGCTGTTCAGTTTGCACAGGAGCTTCCCAAATGGCCAGTGAAAGCCCAGGGCAGTGTAGGCAATGCTGAAGGGCAGAAAAAAGGTGAAGATGAAATCGGCAACAGCCAGGTTTAGAAACCACACGGCATTAACTGTCTTCTTCATCTTGAAGCCAGCGATCCAGATGACAAGGCCATTGCCTGTCACCCCCAGCAGACACGCAATGCTGTAGACCACCATGGAAAGGATATGCATGCTCTTTTGGAGGCCAGAGAAGTAACTGGACACAGTGGAGTTTTCATGCTGAGTGGTGGAGCTGGTCGAGAACAGTGAAGAGGAAGAGATGTTCTCCATCACCATCTGGGCTCCTGAAACTAGACAAGCACACTTCTGCTAGTATTTGCATCACTGGCACTTGCCAGGCAATCAGTGTGAGGTGAGAATCTTTGCCAACAACAGCGCACCAACAACCCATCAGACCCTGAATCTGGGAAATAACTAACATTTAGTATTGACAATGCTTATCTAGAGCTTTTCATCTGAGATTCTCAACAACAGTTTACAAAGGCAGACCTACGTTACAGATGGGGAAAGTGAGGCATAAGGCATTTGAGTACCTTGGTCCAGATCCCAGCAAGACAGGGTCACAGCTAGGAGTAGGGAAGAGCTGTGTGTGAATATCAGAGGGCGGAAACTGGTCCTAAATGAGCCCTGTATCTGGTGCCTGATTTTGTCCAGCAGTTAAAGTAAGATATTCAGGCGTAAGCCCAGCCGCCTTTGGAGCACCTCAGAGTCCCACTACTATAAATGGAAACTCTGAAATCCGTCAAGACAAAAATAATTGATGCAAAGACTCCAGAATGCCTAGAAAGCACAATACCCAACTCACAGGGAGAATCGCACCGGGATGCTTTTCTCCTCTAACAGAAAAAAGAAAAGGAGGACTCTTGGCACCTTAGAGACTAACAAATTTATTTGAGCATAAGCCTTTGTGAGCTACAGCTCACTTCATCGGATGCATTCAGTGGAAAATACAGTGGGGAGATTTATATACACAGAAAACATGAAACAATGGGTGTCACAATACACACTGTAACAAGAGAGTGATCACTTAAGGTGAGCTATTACCAACAGGAGAGAAGGGGGGGAGGGGGGAGAACCTTTTGTAGTGATAATCAAGGTGGGCCATTTCCACACAGTTTGTCCAGCAGTTGACAAGAAAGTCTGAGGAACAGCGGGGGGGGGGGGGGGGAGGGGGGTGAAGGGGGGGAATAAACATGGGAAAATAGTTTTACTTTGTGTAATGACACATCCACTCCCAGTCTCTATTCAAGCCTAAGTTAATTGTATCCAGTTTGCAAATTAATTCCAATTCAGCAGTCTGTCGTTGGAGTCTGTTTTTGAAGTTTTTTTGTTGAAGAATTGCAACTTTTAGGTCTGTAATCGAGTGACCAAAGAGAGTGGACTGTTCTCCAACTGGTTTTTGAATGTTATAATTCTTGACGTCTGATTTGTGTCCATTTATTCTTTTACGTAGAGACTGTCCAGTTTGACCAATGTACATGGCAGAGGGGCATTGCTGGCACATGATGGCATATATCACATTGGTAGATGTGCAGGTGAACGAGCCTCTGATAGCGTGGCTGATGTGATTAGGCCCTATGATGATGTCCCCTGAATAGATATGTGGACACAGTTGGCAACAGTTCAGCCACTGAATGCGTCCGATGAAGTGAGCTGTAGCTCACGAAAGCTTATGCTCAAATAAATTGGTTAGTCTCTAAGGTGCCACAAGTCCTCCTGTTCTTTTTGCGAATACAGACTAACACGGCTGCTACTCTGAAAGTAGCAAAAAAGAAGAAAGCCACACACAAAAAGTCTCTATTTCCCTCCAAGCACAGTTGCCAACTTTCTGTTGCCAACTTGCTGTTACCTGGTGCTTTATGATTGAATTCTGTTTCAGCAAGGTGCCTTTTGGGATACATTTTAAGTATAATAATTTATTATAATCTAGTAGGACAGATTTTCTCCCATTTACAAGCAAATCCCCCTTTGAAGTCCCAGCCACCTCCTGCTTTTTTCACGGCCTCTCACCCCCATTTAATTCCTGGCACTCGGATTCACTTGGGAGCACTCACCGCTGCCGTATACTTCTCACCGCTTCTCTGCTCTCAGCTTCTGGGCACAGCGAGCAGTGCAGCCGCTGGGCTTTTGGTCAAGAAGCTTCTGAGACAGTGAGTGGCTCTGAGAATGATTCAGGTTCGCTTGTTTGGTCTTTCCATGGCCTGAATTCATGGGGAATTTACGGGGTATCATTTATTCCAACCTCTTGTTCCTCAATTTACAGGGAGTAGAATTTAACCCGTTGGCATCTCTGACCATAGCCTGTCCTGAGATGTTGTCCTAAGCAATCACTGTGGTTGGCAGAATGAAAGACGTCTCAAAGGTGCAGCTGTGAAAATGTGCCAAGTGACCCAACCCCAAGTGGAAGCTGTAATGCTGGGGACATGTGGCCCAAATTCACTATTGTATTAAGATCACAAGTCAAAGAGAATTCCCCAAGAGGATCACAAAGGGACAGATGCCTTGAGAGACCCTCTGAGGTGGGCACAATCTGCCCAGAATGAGGCTTCACATTGTATTTGGGGGTTGATCCTCAGTGTCTATTTGTGTCCCGGGGTAAGATTGCCCCATAGTGCTGAAGAAGTTTTCCACATCAGGGGAAGTTTTTCCTCCTGGCTTTTTAATTTGTACTGAGAACAGGAGGGAACCTGCTCTTACTGCTTTCGATCTCGCTCTGTCCTCTGCCATGTGAGACGCACGGGCGCCTGCAGAAGTTGTGCCCCCTTCTAGGAGTCATTAATTCAAAATTACATCCTTAATGTTGTGTGTCCGCTTCCCTCTTGGCTGATACACTGGGGACTGAACCATTGACCTGCACAGCTATACAGCATGGGCAACTGCAGCTTGAGCTACAGAGCAACCATTGCACCTGGGCTGTGCAGTGCCGATCCGAGCCCACTGGGGGCCCTAAACGAGCATATCCCCCCACCCCACAAACTAATAATTAATAGGAGGTGGGGGGCAGGTGCTTGAGCTGCTCAGGGCCCTAAGCAGTTGCTTAGCCTGCTTATGCCTAGCGCCAGCTCTGGCTGTAATGACTCCTAGTCTCTGTGGACTGGCACAGGTGAGGGGGAGTCTGTAACAAACACTCACCAGTGGGTCACCGTTGCAGTAACGCAGGTGCCTACTGGGGGGAAGGCGAAGCCATGCACTGCGAGGACCCGGATAGTAAAGAGCTCTGGGTGTGAGCCAGGCTCCCAGAGGCAAAGCGCTCTCCCTTCCTCAGCCCGCTCCTGGCAGCTGGTGGCAGACCCCCCTTGCCTCCCTCCGGGGGCGGATTTCCCCCGCTCCTGCCGGCGGCCATGCTCCCCTCCCGCTGGGCATCGGGCCCCTCGTGCTCCCTCCCACCCACGAGCTGCACCGACCACCCACGTGCTGCTCCGGGACAGGTAAGACCCAGCTGGCCGGCGAGCTCGGCCTGGGCCAATAGCGTGGGGCAGAGGGCGGGACGGATCGCACTCGTGCCTCCGATTGGTTGAGGCGATTCCGAGGGTTCCATGCGCGGGGACCGGCGGCAGCTCGAGCGAGGCGGGGCGGGTCTGAACGTTCCAGTCCCGGGGCTGCCCTAGGTGCGAGTGGATCGAGTCTGCTGCCGCCCCTGGCGCGCCGGGAGCCTGGTAAGGGCGGTGGGTTCCCGTCGGGGCTGTAAGTCTAGAGTAGCCCCTGGGCCAGGTTCACTGGGATCCGGGTAAATTTCTGCCGGGGGCGACCTCAGTTAGCTTTAGCTCCAGCACGTGGGTTTGGGGGGGGGGCGCTGTCTCTCGCCCCATCTGCTGAACGGTATGGGCTTTGTGCCTTGGCTGGGGTGAGCTGAGCTGAAAGGAGTTTAGCAGCAGCTGCCTCTGCCTTTTGCATTGGGGGCTGGGAAAGCAACAGGAAGTTGGAGCCAGGATCTTGATGCTACTATTTTGGGGATCCCTAGAATCATAAAATATCAGGGTTGGAAGAGACCTCAGGATCTAGTCCGACCCCCAGCTCAAAGCAAGGCCAACACCAACTAAATCATCCCAGCCAGGGCTTTATCAAGCCGGGTCTTAAAAACCTCTAAGGATGGAGATTCCACCACCTCCCTAGGTAACCCATTACAGAATGCCTGCCTGTCTCTTGTATGCCCCTAGCACCTCGCTGGCTGGGGTGGCAGAACTGAAGTTGGAGGTAACATAGCAGAGGCTGAAGCAAAATCACTGTTGAGAAGGAAAGTGATTTCCTCCCTCTTTTGCAGCAGGACACACAGATCTGGGGTTGTTGGGAAAGTAGGTTTCAAATGCAATCTAAATTTCCTCTTAAATCAGTGACTGAAAGTAGTTAAAGTTCTTGAAGTGGGAGGAAATAGTTTCTACACTCCCCTTCTATCTAAAACAATCTTTTCTCTGAGGCCTACTGCAGATGCATAGGAAAATTATAATTATTTTACTGATTGTAATATTTTATAATTTGAATGGTAGCTGTCTCCAGCCAAAATGTATAACACAGACGCTAGCTGAAGAGCACAAAGTGAACTACATAGTGCTTTTCCTGAAGCATCAGGTGTTGGCTACTGCCAAAGTTGAGATACAGGATCTGATGGACCGGTGGGTCAGATATGATCCTTGGATCAGGGACTGTATCTTGTTTCCTGTATAGCACTGAATAAATGATAAGCTCTTAACAGATAGCATGGTCCAGTGGTTAGGGCCCTAGAATGGGAGGGAGGGAGACACTCAATTCTGTACACCGGCTTCCATTTCTGCCACTTTCTTTGTGAATTTTGGCAATTTGCTTAACCTTGGTTTCCCCATCGGTGAAGTGGAGAGAACAGTACTTGTCCACCCACCTTCTGTAAAGTACTTGGGAATATACCAGTGAAAAATGCTATACAAGAGCTTATTTATTCATTAATGATGATCTGGTCTGGCAGGAGCTGGGATATCAGCCGGGATGGAATGGCCAATCCTAACTTTTCCACTCTAAGCAACATCTCATTCTGACTCCATTTTTGCAATTCAGCATTTCTGATATGCAGAATTTACAGTGCCACAAAGAGGTAACAGCAGATTCATGGGGAAATGAAGGTACATTTAGAATTGCAGGGGGGAGGAGCTCTTCTACCCAGCTGTTCCTTTCCAAGCCAGGGCAGACAGATTTCCAAATGGACTTTAGTTATTTGGCATGAGCAAACAAATGTGATTGCCTAATTAGCTGTACATGACCTTTCACTAGCTTTGAGGAGTTAATGTTTAAAAGGAGTTTTTGTTTTTGACTAAGACAGAGGCTGTTCTGTCCCTTCATGACTCGTTGAGAGTTTATGCTTGTTAGCTTATGATCTCCATAGAAGTCACAGTGATGGACTTCGATTAGTGGATGCTTAGCTTTTTGCATTGGTCAGGCCTGATTGTCATGTTTACTGTAAATATGGAGGTTGGCATGGATCTAGTGTTCCACAGTGCTACTCAAAGTGGTGGTTCACAGACCGGTGCTGGTCCACGGCTGCCAGTCTGTGCACACATTGGAAAAAAAAACTGCCAGTCCCCCACATCAGATAGCTTGAGAAGCGCAGCACATGCTCTGGGCCTTCGACCTGCTCTGCAACCTGTATTCATATTGATCAGGGCCTTGCTCATATGAGAAATCCTGTGGTCTCATATGGGACTACTCCTGCACGCAAGATGCTACTTGTAAATAAGGGTGCCAGAGACATTTATCAGACATGCTGAATTTAATATCTCTTGTATGTATCAAGCAGACTGTCCCTTTAAGTAGAGCAGCTATTAAAAAACAACATACCTCTGTCCAAAAATGTATTTACCAACTACTGTTACAAGTAGTTCTTAAAATTTCTAGAACTAAGATTTTGGAGGAAAAACAATGCTTTTCTCTCTTCAGTGTGATTTTAATCACACCGAGTGCTGGCAAATGCCCAGTTTTGCTATTTCCTGTGTAGAGTCAGGTCAACAGTTTCCCCGGTTGTATGTGTGGATCTCTGACCCAGGAGCAAGCGAAAGAAAAAACAGCTAAAATAAAGTGATTGTAGAACCACAGCAACTGCCAGGGGCAGGGATAGTCCTGAAATGACACACTTTAAAAAGAAAAAAAAAAGGACTAGATTTTAAATGGATGGGGTCTCTAAGAATTGTAGGGTTTTCATTATCAGCTTGGTCCAAACCGCACTAAAATACTTTCTTTCCATGGATTTGGATCAGGCCCTGTATTCATAGATTTACTGGGTCTTATAATTTATAAAACTTAATTCACTGCAGGCTGCAAACTGGAACATCAGATCACAGCCTGGGAAGGAATCTATTTAAAAACAATACAGGAGTGCTACAGGGAGCGTTCACCTCTGGTGGGTGGCTGTTTTTAACAGTGCTCTACAAACTGTCCCACTCTGTTCGTTTTCAGACCACGTTACACCAAGCAAGCAACCGCCCCCGGCATGGCTCACTTAACCAATGTCAATGGAGAGCTCCCCAGTGCTGAACTCTGGGTGTCCCATAACAAGATGGTCGTGGAGCCACTTGATGCCAGTGACCCAGAGGTGAGAAGGCTTTTTTCCAGTTTTTGTGGTGGGGAAAGGGTTGCGTGTGTTTTGGCCGAGGGGAAACCCAAGCAATTGCAGCAGGAGATCTTGATTCATCCTCCCAGCTCTGGGACCCATGCAGCCAAAGGGATGTTGATCTTCCTGAGGCAATGACTCGGGATGGCAGGTCAGTCCAAGTTTGGTCATCCAGTCCTGGGTTGCCACTTGCCTCCACTCACCTCATTTCCCATTCCCTCTGCCACATGCTGCAGCCCCAAGGGGGGTGGCAAAGGAGAATGCTTGGTAGCTCTCCTCACCAGTGTCTGGGAGCATCACCTCCATGGTGTTCCCAGCCCCTGCTGCCGTGAGTCTGAAGGTCCCTCAAAACCCAACACTCCCACATGGTGGCCTATAGCTGTGCCACATAATAGGTCTATTCAGTGTCTCATCCCAGATTTCTCAGGCCCAGGGTCTCTTTCCTCTGTGGGATCGGATATTATTTATATGGAAATGAGCACAGCTGTGGCCGTTGCATCTAGCACATTGTTACATGACAATGGAGCAAACGAGAAGGGGCGATCTATAGCCATTAGAAATTTAGATGAGCTGTTACGTTGTCTGTTTCTTTCTTCCAGCCAATTTTCACTGCCATAGTGCCTTGCTCTGTTCAATTTACATGTTCCTCCAAGTGCTCATTTTTGGGAAACATCTAACATGCAGGCTAATGTGTCCTTAATTTCATCGTGTTAGGCCTAGGTTATTCCCCCTGGCACCGCCCTAAATAACTTTTCCCGATCCTGCATATTTACATCTTTCCAGTATTTGTAGATTTGTCTCCCCCTTGTCTACATTCCCTTAGCCAAGTTCTATTTTTAACTGCAGAGAGTCAGCCTCCCTCCCCTGGTCTCTCCTTGCTCTTCTCTGCACTCGCTCCAGTTTGTCAGTATCTTTCTGATAGAATGATGCCCAAAACTGAGTCCAGGGTTCCAAGTTCAGAGCCACAGGAGAAAGGATTCTTGCCTCCCTTGTCCATGGCGGGATGTCTGTATTTTTCCATTCTACCATCTGTTGCTTTTTTGCCTTAGAGAGAGTGCCTCCCAGCACCTGATGCTCTGTACAGAACTGATAAGGATGGGGCTTCTTCTCTCTTAAAGGTGTACGACCTCATCAAGAAAGAGAAGCAGCGCCAGAGGCTTGGGTTGGAGCTGATTGCGTCCGAGAACTTCGCAAGTCGAGCGGTTCTGGAGGCCTTGGGCTCCTGCATGAACAATAAATACTCGGAAGGGTACCCGGGACAGAGGTGTGGAATGTGGGGGAGATTCACATCCAAAGGGTGTTCTCTGTGGGTGGGAGAAATTGGATTGGCTCCCTGGATTGGCTCACTGTCCTCGAGGAAGTGATTGCTGCTCCATTACGGGTCCAAGCAGCCACCGGCTGTAAATTGTTTCTTTCCCAAGGCAGGAACAGACGCACTGCACTTCGCTCCTTGTAGAGTGAGGCCAACGTGGGCTGTCGCCCTGCAGCTTCCCGCCGTTCCTGCTAGGACTGTCACTGCCGAGCCTGAGGAGCATCAGGCGGATCCTCCACAGACCCCTGGGGGAGTGAAGAGGGGTCCGGTTAGCTCTTACTCTGCCACTGGCATCGGGGATGGAAACTTGTGGCATCGCTGATGTGGTAAGACTCCTGCTTTTCTCGTCCGTGTCGTAGGTACTACGGCGGGACAGAGTTTGTGGATGAGCTGGAGATCCTCTGCCAGAAGAGAGCTCTGGAGGCTTACAGGCTGGACCCACAGAAATGGGGGGTCAATGTCCAGCCATACTCAGGTAACAAAGCCCAGATCCTCCCTGGGAGTAGGAGAAAGGGGATGGCAG